CAGCCCCTCACTGGGGATTCTAGGCAGGGGCTCTACCACTGAGTCACACCTCAGCCCCTCACTTGGGGGTTAGCAGGTGCTCTGTGACCAAGTTATATCTTCAGCCTTCTTTTTTGTTTGTTTGTTTTTGAGATAAGGCCTTTCCATTTAGCTCTGGCTGGCCTGGAACTCACTGCATAGACCAAGTTGGACTTGAGCTCATAGAGATCCTCCTGCCTCCGCCTCTTGAGTGTTGGAATTAAAGACATGCGCCACTGCACCCAGCTTTAGTTATTTGTTTGCTGTTTATCTTTATAGTTATTTTATTTGGGGCAGGAGAATGGCCCCACAGTTAAGATCACTTGCTGCTTTTACAGAAGACCCAGGTTCGGTTCACATCACCCACATGGTGGCTCACAACCTTACATAACTCCAGTTTTGAGGGATCTGATCCCCTTTTCCAACTTTCGATGGCACTAGACTTGCACACAATGCACATATATACATGCAGACAAAACATTCATGCAAATAAAATAATTAAAATTATTTTATTTTTATTATGTGTATCTGTGTGTACGTGTGTATGAATGTGTGCACATGATGCAGGTGCCCTTGGAGACCAGAGGTGTGTCACATCTTCTGGAACCATTGTGGTTGCTGGGAACCAAATATGGGTCTTCTGCAAGAGAATTAAGTTCTCTTAACCACTGAACCACGCACACACACACACACACACACACACACACACCTTTCATTATTTTGAGACATGGTCTTATTAAAGGTCACTTGGCCTTGAATTCATTCTTTGACCCTGGTGGGCCCTTAGCTTGTGATACCCTTACCTGCTCCTGCAGTAACTTGTATCTGGGCTCACAACCTCCAGTCCCAGGATGCCCTTGCCCCTGTCGGCCTGGAATTTGCTCCCATTTGCCTGTGTTGCTCGTTCCTTCCCGTTACTGCGCCAGATCCCGCTTCCTCTGAGCACATCACTGCGTCCTACAGCAGCCTCCTTTCTTTGGTCCCTTTCCTGTAATGCTTCATTGCACCTTGATGTCCCTGAGCATCTGTGTGGGTTCTGATTTTCTTTCCCTTCTTCCCCCCCCCCCATTTGTTCATTGATAGTGGAGGAGTCACGTGGTCAGGGGCTGAGTGTGGAGGCGCGAGGACAGCTCAGTGAAAATCGGCTATTTCCGCCAGATGGGTGCCAGGGACCAAGCTCAGTCATCAGCCTTGGCTCTTAGCACCTTCACCGACTCAGCCGTGTTTTTGTGCTAGTGATGAAGCCCTGGCTCATGTTTACTAGGCAACACCCTGCACGCTGAGCTACAGCCCAAGCCCCCACTTAAACAAGAAAACGATTTTTCTCCTCTCAAAACCTCACACAAACTTGGGTTCAAACTTCTCCAGATCCCAGGTGATTCTCCATTTTGTGGACCCTATCTTGGGGTCTCCCCTATGCTGGCATCTGAACCTACAAGTTACAGTGCTCAGTCTGTCAAGACATTGCCTGCTTCAGATGGCCCTCATAAGCCCCAGGTTGCCCCTGCACCTCCGAGTGCCTAGTTTTCAGATTGAGAGCTGTAACAGCTGAGAGATTCAAGGAAGCACCTGCCATCACTGGTTTCTTAGGAAATTACAACGCAGGAGTGGCCAACTGGAAGACGTGCGTGGGCCATGTGTGGGCATAGAGGGTAATTCATGCATGGCCTTCATGGTACTTCCACGTGATCACCAGCTCAGAAGCCCTGAACTGCAGTTGAGAGCCTTTTATGGCGGCTTCACTCCCCTAATGAACAAGGGGTAGGTAAGGCACAGAGTTCCAAGCTTTTCATCTGGGCCGTGGTCTTCTAGAGGGGCCTTCATCCTGAAGCTACCCAGGACCCACCAGAATCCACCTCTTGAGAATGGAAAGAGTTCTCATTCCTCAGGAAGATCCAAGGGATTCAGGACTAGGATGTTCCCATGACCCCCATCAGGGATTTTATGTGGGTGTGGTAGCTCACACCTTTAATCCCAGCACTTAAGAGACGGAGGAGGTGGATTTCTGTGAGTTTAAGATTATCCTGGGCCACGTAGGTCATTCCGGGACAGCCAGGGCTACATAGTGAAAATACTGCCCCAAAAAAACAAAACCCAGGGATCTTACCAACATCGTGTCAGAGTGATCTATATATATATCTATCACTTTGTCACCCTGTTTGGGGTTTTGTTTTTTCATTTTTTTAAAAAAAATTATTTTAATTATGTGTATATGATGTGTGGAGAAGTCCCCAGAAGCCAGAGGCATCGGATCCACAGAACTGGAGTTACGGGAGGTTGTGAACAATCTGACATGAGAATTGGGAACTGAGTTCAGGTCTTCTGGAAGGGAAGGCTGTTTTCTTCATTCTTTATTTTATGTATTTTGGTGTTTTGAGACAGGATCTTTCTGCATGGCTCTGGCTGTCCTGAAACTCACTCTGTAGACCAGGCTGGCCTCAAACTCCCAAGTGCTGGGATTAAAGGCCTGTATCATCACATTTGGCCAGACTGTTTTCTTAAGTACTAAGCTATCTCTAGCTCATTTTTCATTTTTTTTTTAAAGACAGGGTCTTGACTTGAACCCATAGAAGTAAAGGTGTCACGGGACAGGACTGGGAGTGAGAAGTAAAGACAGACAGCTGGGACCGGGAGGTGCTGCAGAAGCTGGGGACTTATGCTGAGCCATTAAGAAAGAAATACAGCATCTTACACAGTATTTGTGAGGGGAGAATGGGCCAAAGTAGCAGAGAGCTAAATCAGACGATGCTGGCAAAGAGAATACATGATACCTCAGACACAGCCCACGGGGAAGAACGGGATCCGAATAAACTGCAGTCTTCACTCCTTCGCGGCACAGCCCCAGCCTCATACCTACCGAGCCTACTTCTGGACAATGACACACAACTAACTTCCTCTTTGTCTTTTTATCCGGGCCTCCGAGAAAGCCTTGGATTCTCAGTCTCCCGACAGGGTCTCATGTAGTCTAGACTGGATTTGAACTAGCTGTGTAGCCAAGGATGGCCTTAAACTTACTGATCCCCCTGCCAGTGCCAGGACTATAGGTGTGCACCGCCATTCCCAGCTCTGCTTCTGTTTATTTTATGCCCCCAGTGTAGATGCACGGGGACGGGAGTTTGATTTCTATCAGGGTCAATCTCGGTACTTAAATAGCGAGCAGCAAATAGGAAATACTCATCATGAATGAATAAGTCAGCCAATAAGCAAGGAGCAGGGGTAGAAGAAATGCCAGGGGCTGCACGTGCAGAGGGCCTCTGATCATTGGGGTTTCAGAATCATAGGGCGGGGCAGTGAGTGTGCTGACTAGTCTGTCAACACAAGCTAGAGTTATCTGAATGGAGGGACCTTCAGTTGAGAAAATGCCTGCCGTAAGAGCCAGCTGTAAGGCATTTTCTTTATCAGTGATTGATGGCGGAGGGCACAGCCCACTGAGTGATTTCTGGGCTGGTGATCTTGGGTTCTATAGGAAAGCAGGCTGAGCAAGCCAGGGCAAGCAAGCCAGTGAGCAGCATCTTCCATGCCCTCTGCATTAGCTGCAGACCCCCAGGTTCCTGCCCTGCTTGAGTGCCTGTCCTGACTTCCTTTGATGATCAACCCCAGGTTGCTTTGGTCATGGTGTTTCATCACAGCCGTCGTAACCCTGACTCAGGTAGTGAGAAAATCTGTCTCAAAAAACAAACCCAAGTGGTTGGCACCTAAGGAGTGATATCCAAGGCTGACTTTGGGCCTCAGGAGATGCACACACAGGGAAGGGAGGGGGAACTTGTGCAGCCACAAACAGGGTCTTGGTAATAACTTTCTTCATATTCGGCAAAAATGCATTAGCCTGCTGGGTGTGGTGGCATACAGCTTTGAGCCCAGCACTTGGGTGGCAGGGGCAGGCAGATCTCAAGAGTCTTAAGGCAAGCCAGTATAAGATAGGGAGACCCTGTCTCAAAAAATATACCAACAAAAAAGCGTGCTGAGTCTTTGAGTATTAAATTCCATTGTGTGCCTAAAGGTCAAGATGAAAGATCAGACCGTTTACCATTTACTGCTCCTAATACTAAAATACCAGAAGTTAGCACGCATCCCTTCTCCTCCTCAGGCTGAAGGCCTTGGCTCCTCAGTTAACCCCAAGAAGATAGTTTGGCTAAATTACATTAGAAAGATCTGACCCGGCAAGAGCTAACTTTTATTTTTAATTATGTGCATACCTATGTGTCTGCTTGAGGACACATGCACGGGAGTGCAGTTCCGGGGGAGGTCAAAAAAGGGCACTGAATTCCATGGAGCTGGAGTCAGAGGCAGCTGTGAGCCAGTGTGAGCGCTAGGAGCTGAACTTGGCTCCTCTGCAAGAACGGTATGGGCCTTTAACCCCTGCACCGTGTCTCTTGCCCCATCAGCTTTTCTTCATATTACTCTTACAGTGTCCACTGAGGTCATGTGCTCCAAGTCTGTGGGGAAATAGTTACCAAATCCTCCTGTAGTGTGTAAGCCAAGGCCCTCGGGTCCCTGGTACCCATTAGGATTTTGTTGCAAACACTGAAGATAAATAGCCTCCAGGGGTCTACGGATCCAGCACAGTGAGGGGCTGTTACACTGGTCGCTAGGATAATGTGACCCTCGGAGGAGGTAGGGTCTAGCTAGGGTACCAGAGGAATCCTAGGCAGAGGAGCCCAGCGTAGGCGCTAGCGCCACCTCCAGCCCCAGGCTTAGGAGGAAGGGGCGGGGCCTCCACAGGTCGAGCCGGAAGTGCCTCTCCGTCCCTGCCACTGGACCATGGAGACCGTGGCCCAGTAGATACCTTAGTGTGAGGCTTGCAGGGGCAGTGGCCATGGAGGCCGTGCTGAACGAGCTGGTGTCTGTGGAGGATCTGAAGGTGAGGCCTGGGACATAGGAGAAGGGCAGACTCGGCAAGGGCAGCTCCTGAGGAGAGCTAGTCGAGTCCGAGCACTGCCGGCTTCGACTTGTTGGGGAAGCTGGACTACGTCTCCCAGCAGCCTCTGCGGTATCCTGCTTCTTGTGGGAACCTGCGCTGTGTTCCTGGGCCTGTTGGGAGTTGTAGTTTCCAGGGTTTCGGCAACTCAGTCTTGAGGCCTGGAGTTTTAGGGGGCTAAGTGTGATGTAGAGTTTGATCTAGGAATTTGGAGTACTCATGCAGGCGATGAGGTAGCATAGTCACTGGCATACGCTTTTGCTGGTGTTGAGTCCAGCATGGTTCACTGCATGCCTAGCCTCCGTCCTTGCAGTGGCGTTTTCTTTCCTCTTCTAGAACTAAGGTGAGGCAGATCCAGGCCCAAAAGAATGGGGGTGGAAAGGGATCAGCAGCCCTAAGCGAAGGCCGCGTAGGATGTCATTTAGCTGCTGGGGCAGTATGTTTACTGTTCAGCTTCTTGGGGTCAGCTGGTCCGAGAGCAGTGCCCGCAGCTGCCGCCAGGTGGTATCTCCACTTGGTACCACTAGGGGCTGGGTGCAGGGATCTTCAGAGGGGAGGGCACAGAGCCTGGGTACCAAGATCTGCAAGGGGAAGGTGGGCTAACTGGGACTAGACACCGAGTTCAGCTGGAGAACGGTGGATGCTCTTTGCTTATAAACGATGCCTTTTCTCTCTAACGACAGAATTTTGAAAGGAAATTTCAGTCTGAGCAGGCTGCTGGCTCCGTCTCCAAAAGCACACAGTTTGAGTACGCCTGGTGCCTGGTGCGAAGCAAATACAATGATGACATCCGTAAAGGCATCATGCTCCTGGAGGGTAAGGCGCTGGGTCCCTTGACCTCACCCCTCCAGGATCCTTTTCAACACAGAACCCTCACCCCATGGCTCATTCGTCACCCAGTAACCACCAGTAAATTCACCGCAGCAGAGGACTAGGTTGCTCCTCTGTATCCCCAATTTCAACATCCAAACATTCATTCAGATTGAAAATGCGGTGGGGAAAGAAAAAAATACATGTTCTCAGGCAACTCAGAGTGCTTCTGTGCAGGTATAAAGACCTGAGTTCAAATCCCCAGCACCCATGGAAAAAACTGATAGTTATGACTGCAAATATCTGTATAGAGAATGGAAATGAGGTATTGCTGGGGGCTTTCTTGCTGCAATCTTAGCCCAGTTGCAGAGGGAGACTCACTTTCTCGGGGAATGGGGTAGAGAGTGCGTTTGGTCTGTGTGTGCATACCACACACACAGTGTCCACGGGACATTTCTTGTTCAGTTATTAATTGCTGTTAATGTAGCATTTACATTGTATTGGGTAGCTGTAATTAAGAAAGTTCTAGAGATTAGAATATCTATGGGACTATTGTATTAAAGGCATGTGATCCCAGCGCTCCAAAGGTGGAGGCATGGGTACGTGACTGCAGAGATGAAAGCAGGAAGTTCAAGGCCAGAGTCAGCTACGTAGTGATCAAACTCGAGGCCAGCCTGGGCTACCCCCGAGCACCCTGTCTTAAAAAGGCATCTTTGGGGAATAAGCTAGGTTCTATGCAAATACTGTTTAATTTTATATAAGGGCCTTTGTATCTGTAGGATTTGGAATCTGAGGGGCATCTTGGAATAATCCCAGAGGCTATCAAAGGACAATACTAACAAAAGATGCCTATGTCATGTAGTTTTTGGTTTTGACACAGGGTCTTTGTATAGCTTGGGACACTTCCGCTTCCGCTTCAGCCACCTTGGTGCTGGGAAGTGAGGTGTTCCGTGAGCTCCGGCATCCTCGTAAAAGCAAATGCTGTCCCCTACGTGGATCAGTTCGGATTCTTCAGGTTTCTTGTGTAGTAGGACACAACAGTAAAAGTGCTCTCGGAGTGTTTGAGTCTCAGGGACACAGTGCAGACACCGAGAAGGTCTCAACACTGCAAAACTTAGCCGCAAAGTATGGTTGCGTACACCTGTAACTTCAGCACTCAGCTTGGGCCACATAGTGAGTCCCTATCTTATTCTGTCTGTCTGTCTGTCTGTCTGTCTATCTATTTTTAAGACAGGATTTCTTCTTGTAGTCCAGACTGTCCTGGAACTCACTCTGTAGATAAGACTAGTCTCAAACTCACAGAGATCCTCCTACCTCTATCTCTCCAGCGCTGGGGTTAAATGTGTGCACTACCATTGACAGCTCTGAGTCCAAATCTTAACCCCTATCCCACATACACTGAGAGAGAGAAAATTTAAAAAAAAAAAAAAAAGCCAGGTGAGGGTTGCTCAGGAAAGTTGAGTTAAAAGAGAAAGGGATGCGTCCTGGTGCATGACTTTAGTTCCAGGACTTGGGAGGCAGAGGCAGGTGGGTCTCTGTGAGTTTGAGGCCAGCCTGGTCTACAGAGCGAGTTCCAGGACAGCCAGGGCTACACAGAGAAACGCTGTCTCAGGGAAAGGGGAAAGCTCAGTCAGCAGAGTGCCTGTCTCCTGTGTACGGGACTGAAGCACTGGTCCAGTTCCACCCCTGGCACCGCAGAAACCAGGCGTGGTCCTGTACCACTCACGAGGTTAGAGTTCTGGTCGTCCTCAGGTAGACGTCACAAAAGAGGGAATGCAAATGTCAGGCAGGAGTGACCTTGCAGTGAGACCAGTAGCTGGCCAGTGGGGATGCGCCCTTCCATGCAGACTGCATCAGTGCAGACATGGGCGCTGGTTCCCAGCATCTGCATGGGGCTGTAACTAGAAAGCAGAGGGTGATATAAGCTGATAATGGAGGTCTAGGACAGTGACCTTCCCAGCATCCTAGAGTGAGTCAGCGTGGCAGGACCTGTCTGGCGCTGTGTTACAAAGAGAATCCAGGGGCTGGAGAGATGGCTCTTCCCAAAGACCGGGCTTCAACTCCCAGCTACCACATGGCAGCTCACAACTATCTATAACTCCGGTTCCTGAGGATCCGAGTACCCTCACACAGATATGCCTGCAGGCGAAACACCAGTGCACATCAAATAAAATAAATATAAATTTAAGAAGCAAGAGAGAGAAAATCCATCTTTCTCCTCTCCCTTCCCCCTCCAGAGCTGTTGCCCAAAGGGAGCAAAGAGGAACAGCGGGATTATGTCTTCTACCTGGCAGTGGGCAACTACCGCCTCAAGGTAAGGCGCAGAGTCCTTCCCAATGCTTATTCCGCTTGAGTGTGCCCCCCCCCCCCCCCCGACAGAGCCCTGGCCTGCAGGATGCTAGCAGCGGGCAGTGGGCTGGGGCTGTGGTGTACGTGCATAGGTATAGAGTAATTCCAGGACAGACTCTAAGGGAGGATGAGAAAGTATCAGGGTGTGGAGACCATGGTGACGTCAGGATTGGGGTGCAGCCCCGTGCCTGTAGCTGTTATCTCCACTAGCTTATCACCTCCCCCACAGCTGGGCTGTTTGTGGACTCTACTCTGTGAGTTGGGGCTGTAGCAGGTGTGGGGGAGGAAGGATGAGCCTGAGCTGGGGCCGCGGAAGGACGGCTCTGGGTGGGGGCTGGCAGGGCAGCATCCTGACAGCAAGCGTGAGCGTGTGGTGTGAGGAGTGAGGCGCTCTCCCTCTGACTGCAGGAGTATGAAAAGGCCCTAAAGTATGTGCGAGGATTGCTGCAGACTGAGCCCCAGAACACCCAGGCCAAGGAGCTGGAGCGCCTCATCGACAAGGCTATGAAGAAAGGTGATACCCCCACACAGTCCTTTATCAAACCTAGCCCCCAGACTCTCCTGTGGGGGGCAGGACAGATCTGCTGACGGCTCTGTCTTTTTCAGATGGACTAGTGGGCATGGCAATTGTTGGTGGCATGGCCCTGGGTGTGGCGGGACTGGCCGGACTCATTGGACTAGCTGTCTCCAAGTCCAAATCCTGAAGACAGCCTCACCTGCCTGGCGCGCCCGAGAGCCTGGGGGCCACTGGAAGAGGGTCCTGCCCGTCCTCACCATCGCCTTCCCTTCTCCTCCCCACCCCTTGTCATCCATCTCTAGAGTCTTCGTGACCTTCAATCTCTCATCCCCCAGCACCTGTTGTTTAGCCCTGAGTCAAGCTTTGCAATGAGTGTAAATAAAATTGGGCTGCGGCTTGGGAACCTCTGTGCCTGAGAGTCTGTTGAGGGAGGAGCGGGTTCACCGGGTGCACTGTGGCCCCCGCTACCCCCCTCCAGGTTCCTTTGCCTACATCCCAGCCCACACCCTTCCTTCCTCCCCTGTCCTGAATCCACAAGGCAGGAACAGGGAACAACTAGGAGTACATGGCCTTTCCATTGCCCCAGAATCCTGGGAGAACAGCAAACAGAAGAGGGAACAGCAGGCTGGGATTTATGACCGTGGTCTCCTCTGACCCACTAAGCCGCCTGGAGTTTTCCACTGCAGGGGGCCCCCACTGGGCTTCCTCCGAAAACCTCCGCCCTTCCCTCCCTTTGTCTTCCTACCCCCTCCCCTTCCTCTATCCAGTCCTTCTTAGGGGGGCATGGATGAATGACGTATGAGAGAGGAAGCCATGTGAAGATGGCAGGGGCTGTGGGGGTTGTCGGGCACAGGATACCCCAATCCCAGCCTGTGGGACAGGAGGCAGAGAGCTCACAGATCTCACCCCACGCCCCCTGTGCCAGGCTCTGTGTGGGCCTGTTTGGCTTCCCAGCATACTTATCATTCCACAGCCCCTGCCAGGCTTGCTGGGGGGTGGGAGGAGGTACCTGGGGGGAGCACGGAGGAGTCTGATGCAGGAAAGGGGGGGTGTCAGAGGGCATGGCTTTGTCTCACATACTCTGGAAAGGGAACCCTGGTGCCAACTCACCAAGCAAGACGTGGTCAAGAAGGAAATCTATGCTCGGGTGCGCAGCCAGGATGGAGTGGGGGACCCAGAGGCTTCCATTTATCAGAATGAATTAATAGAGCTGGTGATAAGTTCCCAGTAAGTGGATAGGCAGAGAGATCAAGCAGAATCATTTCCTAGGCCCGTGATCCATCCCCCAACCCTGGGCCCCTGGGCCCTTGGCAGCAAGATCAAACTCAATACCGAAGCGTCAAAGGTCAGCTCCGGCCCGGGGACAATTCAGGAAGTTTGGAGGAAAGTAGCATTTGGTGGCCTCACCTCAGCCAGCGGCTTTCAGATCCAGGGCAATTACCCACTCCTGGGGCGATGGGAGTGTGCCGGGTGCTGTGATCTGTGGTCCCAACTTCCATTACAACCTAAGAAGCCAATAATGTTGTGTCAACAAGGCTGGGAGCCAAAACCTCCAGCCCAGAGCCCTTTGATAATGCTGGAGTCTAGTGGGAACCAGGTGGCTGGATTCCAGAGCTTCTATCACCCCGGAATCAACCTTCCTGATCCTCGGGGGATTTAAGTGTCCCCAACTCCAGGGTCTTCAGTGACTTAGGTTGCTCTTGGGAGTCTCTTAATTCATCACAGAAGCCTGTGGTGGGCCCGTTGGAAGTTTTCTTCTCTCTTGACACGCTGATCTCAGCTACCGAAAACTCTCAGTCCCTCTCATTTCATTCCCCGACCCTGGTGACAGCTGAGTCAGAGACAGGCCACTTCCCCTGGATTCCTGATGGATCCCTGGGGGCTGCTCCTTGGCTGTATCCCTGAGTCTCCTAGTAAGTCCAAGCTCCCCCCCTCCTAGGGCGGGGAGTCCTGGGCTAGGCCGGGGGAGGGGGTGGACTTTTGGCCCGTTTATTCCCTCCATCGCAGTCAACAGCTGCTGAGCGGAGCGGGCTTGGCTCATTCCTCTGACCTGCCAGGAAGGAGAGAGTCCCAGAGGCTGGGCCGAGACAATCAGACCTGAGCTCGAGGAGAAGGCAGACGAGGATCGCAGCTGCACGGGCCCGTCCTACACCCTTCTCCCTCCTTAGTCTCCAAAAGCTCCCAGAATTCACCTGGAGGTGTCACATCTATCCCAATCCCTGGGGCTCCAGCCCCTTGGGGGAATCTGCATCCCAGCATGTCGATAGCTGTGGAGACCTTCGGCTTCTTCATGGCAGCCCTGGGACTGCTGATGCTGGGGGTGACCCTACCAAACAGCTACTGGAGAGTGTCTACCGTCAGTGGGAACGTCATCACCACCAACACCATCTTTGAGAACCTGTGGTATAGCTGTGCCACCGACTCCATGGGAGTCTCCAACTGCTGGGAGTTCCCTTCCATGCTGGCCCTCTCTGGTACGGGGTGAAGGGGGCTCTAGGGGACAGAGGGAGATTGGGTGGCTGGCTGGAGATATCCTAGAGGACAGGTTGGAGGTGGTTGCCGTTGGTCTGGCCTTGGGCACCATAATGACAAGTTCAGGCCAAGCCCTCGGTTCCCGGCAGCTGCAGCAAAGAGTTCTGCATGACCCAGAGCTACACATGGCTCCCTGTCCTAACGTGTGATCCTCCCTAGCTAAGTCGCGCTTACAGGTGCCATTCAGGCCTTTGCTAGCTCCAGGCCGCAGATGAATGATGGCCTTGAATGATGAATCTGGTCTTGGCCACCCGCAAACTAAGAGCAGTCACGGTGCCAGTGCGCGAGTGGTCACGAGGCCTCTAGGCAACAAGCCTTGCGGGCGTGAATGGGACGTTGACTATATATATTTTAGTGTTTTATTCTGGGGAGGGTTTGCTCAGATGGCAGGGGTGAGATCAAGACTCCATCTTGTTTGATTGACTGCTAGCCCCAGTAGCCCTCTGGACATTAACAGATTGTGGTCTACCTACCCTGCTGAACTCGAGGGCCCTCGACGCAGCTCCCTTATTGTGGAGGGGAGTCTCCTGAAAGTCTGGGTGGGTGGATGCTGGAGAGGTGGTTATGTGGACACGCATGTATATTTGGGGCTCAGAGTGTGGCTTTTGTTGTTTTGTTTTGTTTGAAGATGTTAACCGCCTGCAGCTCTAACTTGGGCCCTGGCGCTCCTCGGCTACTTGCACTGCCTGCCTCTAGCTCACCTGCACAATAACCCTCCGTCGCTCCCCGTGCCATCATTTCCCCCAAGGGGTCCACTTGGACTTCCTAGTCTCCCCCATGCTACAGAGACTAAGAGTCAATGACCGCGAACCCTCCCTGATTGCCTCTGCCAGTCGGTTCCGGTCTTGCTTTTGGAGGAATCCACCTGTATGTAGATGATGAGCAGGTGGGAGGCTCTGAGGCCAGCCCAGGTGGGAAAGTGAATGCTGGGAAATGGCCCCCATCAGTCTGGAAGGTGCCCTGAGCAGTGATGGTGTCTGGGTGGATCACAAACTCAGAGCAGTAAGTGCCCAGAAGGGACCATAGATGTGGGGCAACTCAGCGCCCAGCCAGCCTGCTGCATCCCCGGTGTGCAGAGGCTATTTGGTTGTAAGCCTGGCCACTGAAGAGAGGGGCCTCTCTTGGTGTCGCTTCTCTTTGCCTGCACGAGAGAGAACATGAATTTGGAGGAAAGTCACATGGGAGGTTGCTGGGGTGATGGAGGATAGAAAGCCTTGAGGTCTCCAGGCCTCCAGGGCTCTAGTCAGTTCCCTTTCGTGTTTTTGGGTTTGGGTTGTTGTGTGTGGGGGGGGGGTGGGTAGGTGGGTGGGTGGTATTTTAAGACATGGTGTTGCTATGTAGTCCGTTCCCTGGCCTCACTGTGTGGTCCTAGGCTGGCCCTCAACTTGGAAAGATCCTCTTGTCTCAGCCTCCTAGGTGCTGGGATTACAGGTGTGCACCACCACATCTAGCTTTTCCTTTTCTATGGACACTGCCCTCGCCCTCCGTACATCTGTGCTTTTCAAAAATATTTACATCATTAGCTGGACCACTCTGCAGAACTAAGCGCCCCGCCTAGAGGCCGAGGAAGTGGAGAGGAAGCTGTGATTCTAATCCACTGTGTCTGGGCCAAGGACCAGTTTCTTCCTCTGTGGTCTGCTGAGTCCCAAGAGGGCTCCTGTCTGTTTGCACCCAGTACTAGAGATTAAACTAAGGACTGTATGCGTGCTAGACAAGCCCTGAACTACCCTCTGTCCCTCACTGAAGGATTCTAGGCTGGTGTTCCATCACTAAGAGCCACCCTACCCCAGCCCCTCCCTGGGGAATCACAAGCAAATGTTCTACCTCTGAGGTAGAGCCCCAGCCCTCTTCTTATTTATTATTTTTATTTTAGTGGTTTGTTTTGTTTTGTTTTGTTTTTTTGGTTTTGTTTTTGAGGCAGGGCTTCTCTATATAGCCTGATTGTCCTGGAACTCACTCTGTAGACCCAGGCTGGTCTCGAACTCACAGAACTCCACCTGCCTCTGTCTCCCAAGTTCTGAGATTAAAGGCATGAGCCACCACCACCCGGCTTTCTTTTGATTTTTTATTTTGAGACAATCTTGCTGAGATGCCCAGGATGGCCTTAATCTTGCCTCTTGCCTCAACCTCTAGGGTACTGGGGTGATTTCCAACATGGCTCACCAAACCAAGCCTATTAATTAATGACTTCACACCTGTGCCACCCTGCACTGTGACACTGGACCCACGGACCTGTAGGTCCTTCAGTCATCTTTCCTTTGCCCAACAGCATCCTCTGCACATTAAGAATTGGTGGGTCCTGCAGAGATGGCTCAGTGGTTAAGAGCACTGACTGCTCTTCCAAAAGACCCTGCAGGTTCAATTCCCAGCACCGATATGACAGCTCACAACTATCTTAACTCCCTGGGAACTGACACCCTTACACAGGCATACACGCAGGCAAAAGACCAATGTACATAAAATAAAAATAAATAAATTTAAAAAAAAAAGAATTGGTGGGGAGCCAGGTGGTAGTACACACCTTTAATCCCAATGCTCAGGAGGCAGAGGCAGGTAGACCTCTGTGAGTTCAAGGCCAGCCTGGTCTGCAGAGGGAGTTCCAGGACAATCAGGACTGTTTCACGAGAAACCCAGTCTTGGAAAAACCAAAAACCAAACCAAACCAAACAAACAAAAATAGTAGGGAATTCTAGAAGGTGCGGCTGGGAGTCATAATGTCCTCTCAGAGAACTTTGTTCCCTCCTCCTCACCTCGTAACTCCACCGTGCTATGGGCCCCACCCGGGAAAGGGGTACAAGGTCCCCGAGAATGCTTGACAACCGTCAAAAGCAGGAGGAGCTAGCAAACCTCATCTTCGAGAAAAGGGAAACTGAGGCACCAAAAGATTATGAGCTGAACTGACTGGGATGAGTTCTTTGGCTCAGGTTTCCCAGCTCCCCAGCCCCCAACCACCCCTGGCTCTAGACCATCTACCCTGAGCACTACTGCCCCCTGCTGGTTACTCCAGAAGAAACTCAACTCCAACCCAGAGTGTCCATGGTGTTGGAATCTTGGCACAGGCCTGTAATCCCAGCAACCCAGAGGTTGAGGCAGGAGAATCAAGAGTTACCCCAAGATCCCTTGACAATGTAGCCAGTTTTACCTTGTCGCAATCAATCAACCAATAAACAAACAAACAGACAGGGGATGTAGCGCCACTTGTTGGTAGAGTGCTTGCCTGACGTGCCTGAAGTTCTGTGGTGAGATCCGGTGTCCTTGCTTGCTAGAGTCCGTCAGAGCAGTCTTGTGGACTGTTGACATTCTTTTAAAAAAGGAGAGGATGGGAGAAGGCACGGAACCCTCACCCCAACCTCCCAGTCACCCCTCCCAACCACTTGTCTGCAATTCTACCCTAATCGCAGGAGTATCTTAGGGAGAGGCTGGAGTGTGTGTGTGTGTGTGTGTGTGTGTGTGTGTGTGTGTGTGTATGTGTGTGTATCTCCCCTTGAGGGGACAGCTAGGAAACGGGGCTTCATTTCTGTGGCTAGGGGACCATCATTCATGCCAGGCGAAGACAGACTGTTGTGGCTGCTTTGGGGTCAGCCATCCTTCTGCCAGTTAAGCACTCACTGTGCTCTCTGTGAGGCAACCAATAAACTCACTGGTTCCCCCAAGGTGGTATTTGGTGGAATCCTACTTAGGTTTGTTCTCCTTGGGACCTCAAGAGGAAGGAGAAGGAGTAGATGTTGATTACATCCCCCCCCCGGGGGGGAAGGAATTTTGGCAACACCTGGGTTGCATCCCCAGCACCAGATAAATCAGGTCTGGTTGTGTGTGTCTGTCACGCTAGCACTGGAGACGGGGATGGGGGACGGGGCACGGATGGACAGATAAAATACGAACGGACATGGGACGGACGACAAAGAATCAGAAGCTTAAGGTCTCACTCAGCTATTTAACAAATATGAGGCCTGGGTTTATATTTGTTTGCTTGTTTTGTTTTGTTTTATTTGTTTATTTGTTTTTTCCTGAGACAGGGTTTCTCTGTAGCTTTGGAGCCTGTCCTGGAACTAGCTCTTTTAGACCAGGCTGACCTCAAACTCACAGAGATCCACCTGCCTCTGCCTCCTGAGTGCTGGGATTAAAGGCATGCACCACCACTACCTGGTGTTCTTTTGTTTGTTTGTTTGTTTGTTTGAGACAGAGTTGCTCTGTGTAGCCCTGGCTGTCTTGTAACTCACTCTATAGACCAGGCTAGCCTCAAACTCACAGAGATCTGCCCGTCTCTACCTCCCGAGTACTGGGACTAAAGGTGTGCACCACCAACGCCAGCCCCCTCCTTTTTTTTTTTTTTAAGTTTCAACAGTAGCACCCCAGCAGGGAAAGGAGAGGTGCAGGACGAAGGAGCCGAGTGTGAGTAAAAGGGCTAACGAGGAAGGTTGATGTGAATCCCGGAGAGGGAAATTGCTAGGAGCTTTAGGTGCTAGAGACCAGTGGGAAAGCATGCTGGCTGAGGGGTGTGTGGAAGAGAAACACTGATGGCTTCACCCCGCCCGCTCCCCAGGGTATGTCCAGGGTTGCCGCGCCCTCATGATCACTGCCATCCTCCTGGGCTTCCTGGGCCTCTTTCTGGGCATGGTAGGGCTGCGCTGCACCAACGTGGGAAACATCGATCTCTCCGTGAAGGTCAAGATGCTGGCCATTGCAGGAACCTTCCACATACTTGCTGGTAATGAGGGAGAAAGGGGGTGCATGGGTTAGGGAGGCCCTTGCCACAGTCCCCGGCTTCTCTTGTCCTCCTCTCCTCTCAAACTTACCTTCTCCTGCTGGGTGACCCCTGTTGTCCCTTCTTCATCTTTTCCTCCTCCCTACCCTGTCTGTACTCGGCAAATCTCTAGACCACAACTTAGTGTCCAAGAATAGGGTTGCCCTGCACACAGCTGAGCCAAATCCCTGCCAGGCCTGAGAGGCTATTTCCTCCAAAACTTACGGGGGATCAGAGTCAGGGTATACACACACACTCACAAACACACACTCAGAGTAACAACGCTATAGATGGCCTATACCTTACTGTCCAGTATGTTACATTTCTGCACACATTTCTTCACAATAAACCATGCAGAACTGTAAGCGAAGAAATGGATTTTGTGGTGACCCAAATTTGGTCCAGGTATACCCGGGGTGCGTGGAAAGAATCAACTTCTGAAAGTGAGCACCTGTACTCACACACACACACCCCACACACCAATAATAATAAAATAATATTATTAAAAATAGTCATTTTTAAAAATCCAGACAGGGCGGGTATTTCCCATTTTCTAGATCTGAAGGTTTGGAAAGTCCCTCAGTCAGCATGACAAATGAGACACAGAGAAACCTCGGACACAGCAGATGAATCAGCAGCTGAAAGGGGGCATTTACTGGGGATGAGGAGACACACGCATGCAGCAGACACACAGAGAAACACTCAGCAGGTAGAGGGCGAACTGAGAAGCCAAAAGTCCAGGATCTTTTGAAGGCGGGACATTTAAGTCTGAAGAGCCTTTCCCCTTTAGGGTTGGTCAGTGTGAAGAAAGACAGGATGGCTGATTGGCCCTCAGCTGTTGCATAACATGTCCTGATCCAGCATTGAACCCTTGATTGAGCCAGTTCACCCATGGGCAGGAGAGAAAAAAAAAAGCCGACGGGGCCTTTGTTTAAAGCTGCCAGGCTTTTGTCCCAAGTCCAGAAGGGAGGGGGAAGCCAGCCATCTTAGAAGTTCCCCGTCTTCATTACCTAGGCATGGTCACTCTCCTTGTCTCCCAGGGAATCTTTCTAAATCCTAGCCCCTCAGTATATTTGAGGGCTAGCAGGCAGAGAGCCATGTGACCAGCCACATGATAACCCACAGGAATGTCAGGGGCAGAAATCACCTGCTGATTCATCTGCCATGTTCGTGGTTTCTCTCTACTACCTAGCTGGCTTGAGATTTTTCCCTGCCTCTTAATTCTTTAACTGGCAGAGAAAATGAAGCCGATCATGACCCCCATCTTGAAAGCCCAGTTGTTCCTTCCCCAGCCCTGTGTGGTGGCTCAGGACTACAGTCTCAAGAGGTAACAGGATCAGGGTCATGCCAGGCTACCTGGTGAGTTCAAGGCCAGCCTGTTAGGGATATTTTCTAACACAAACTCTCTGCCAACCATAAATAATCCCAATCAAGCTAAATCAGACCAGATTAAAAGATATCCAGGTTTAATTAAACACCTGCACTCCCTGGTGGCCCCGAGGGAAACAGGAAGTTGCCAATGTGACCACTGGAGAGGAAAAGGGAAAACCACGTGTTTATTTTGGGGGGGAGCAGTTTCAATAGCCCGTGGGAATGGTCTTGACCTTTCCTGGGGAGGGGTCAAGGTTCAAGGGGCACAGGGGAGGGGCCTTCAAAGATGGAGGCTAGAGGCCGGGACTTACACAGCCTAGGCTTCATAAGATTATCTTTAAAAATGTAAGATATCCCACTGAGCAGTGGTGGTGCACACACCTTTAATCCCAGCACTTGGGAAGCAGAGGCAGGTGGATCTCAGTGAGTTCGAGGCCAGCCTGGTCTACAGAGTGAGTTCTGGGATAGCCAGGACTGTTACACAGGGAAACCCTATCTCATCAAACAAAGAACAAACAAAAAAAGTAAGATATCCTAGGACTCAAGTGGCCTAAAGGCTGTTTTTGAATGTGTCTGGACCACAGGCTGGGACAGAGGAAAGGAGCTATTTTTCTTGGACGTGATGTCCAGTCCCTCGAGCCCCTCAGAGCTCACTTGCTTTGAGAGGCTGTGGCTGCGAGAAGGGCCCAGAGGACCATATTCCACCCTTTTCTCCAGGTACCTGTGGGATGGTGGCTATCTCCTGGTACGCCGTCAACATCACTACTGACTTCTTCAACCCCTTGTATGTTGGAACCAAGTAAGTGAGGACCCCTGCCCTTGGGGACAATGGGTAGGTTTCGGCCTAGCCCCTCTGGGCTGGCACTTACCTCTTCCGCTCCCCAGGTACGAGCTGGGTCCCGCTCTCTACTTGGGCTGGAGTGCCTCCCTGCTCTCCATTCTGGGCGGCATTTGTCTCTTTTCTACCTGCTGCTGTGCCTCCAAGGAGGAACCAGCCACCAGGTGAGGAGCTGAGAGGGAGGAGGGTGGAGCGAGGATGACATGCTGTGACCACCTGTGACCCTGCCTTCCTCTTAATTCCACAGGGCCAGGCTTTCCTATAAGACTTCTACAGTCGTGATACCCAAAGCCACTTCAGATGAAGGCAAAGTCAGCTTTGGCGAATATGGCAAAAATGCCTACGTGTAGGAGCTCTGGCCTGGTGGACACCGTTCCTTGCCCTCCTGTCCCCAGTGGAAAAGTGTCTCCAGGATGCTCGGACCTTTCTCCAGTTAATAACCTCAGGGCAGGCCATTTCCGGGCGCTACCCTGTGCCTGGAAACCATGACCTGCTCTGGTATACCTTATCTGGCACTCCAGTCTCCCCCACGAACAGAAGCTGCGGGGGGCAACTCGCATGGCCTCCTACAGCTGGACCCAAGGGGACAGAGGTGTCTGCAGCTTGTGATGCTATATCAAAACATGCATAAATAAATGTATATTGTGATTGTTCAGGGGCCATGAAGTTGCAGCCGAGTGAGGGGCTCACTCTCAAACCACAGACTGTCAATACTGTCCACTTTTGAGCTGTCTTGTCCAGTGAGAAAGTATACCAAGGAACTGGGGAGATGGCTCAGAGTAAGAGTGTCTGCTACACAAGTATGAGTTCAAATCCCCAGAACACATGTAAAAAGCCAGGCAAGGTCACACTCCCATAACCCCAGCGCTGTTGGTAAGACTCTCCAAGGCTTACTGGCTTCCAACCTAGCTCCAGGTTCAATGTGAGACCCTGTCTCAGAGGTCTAAGGTGGAGAATGATAGAGAAAGTGCTGGAAGCCCTCCTCTGACCTGTGCAGGCACACAGACTGTGCACAAACAGCATGCACAGGTTCCCAACAAAAGGCATTGCCAGTACCCACCTCAGGGAATTATTGCTAGCTGGAATGCCCCCCACCCATCTCTCTCTCTTGACTCTTAACCTGTGTTCTTCCAGCTGCATGGAGGAGCCGTTGATCCAGAACAGGTGTCTGTGTGTGCGTGTATGTTTGTGTGAACTAGATTTGGGGTTTAATAAAGATATTTTAAAAGATGCATTATTTACATATATGTGTGTGTTTCTGTGCGCCATGTGCCTGCAGGTACCCAAAGAGACAAAAAGAGGGCACCAGATCCCCTGGAACTGGAATTACAGGTGGTGGTGAGCATCTGTGGGTGTTGGGAGCAGAACCTTGATCCTCTGTCAGAGCTGCAAGGGCTCTTATCCACAGAGTCATCTCTTCAGTCCCTTAATAAAGATATTCTAATATAGACGGAAGCTCAAGCGTCGAGAGAGAGGACCTCATAAGAAAGTGATACCTGCTGGGCAGTGGTTGTGCATGTCTTTAATCTCAGCGCTTGAGGGAGGCAGAGGCAGGCAGATCTCAGTGAGTTTGAGGTCAGCCTGGTCTACAAAGTGAGTTCCAGGACAGTAAAAACTGTTTGTTACACAGGGAACGTTAGAAAGAAAATGATACCCAAGAGCATGGGTGTCTTAGAAAGTACGACACCAGAATACGGTATGGAAACCTCAAAAGGAGTCACCGGGACAGTGAGAGTGTCTTGTTTGCTTCCCCTGGGCCTGAGTGTGCTCATCAAGGCTGGGCTGGGCCTGGGTGTGCACACATCCCTGTGTGAAGCTGCGGTATCTTCCAGAAAATGGCTCATGCACATCACAGCTGGCTGGAGGACATGGTGTGCTGTGAGCAGCTTCGTGTGTCCCAGTGGGCCCCAAAGCAGAGCCGGCACCTGTTCAAGAGAGGAAAATGAGGCAGAGCGGGGAGGTACACTGCTGTGATCCCAGCACTCGGCGGAAGGCAGAGAGGAGCTCAGGTTTTCCTTAGCTACGTGGTGAATTTGGAGTCCTCCTCGGCTACGTGAGACTGGGTCTAAAAAAGGCAGAGAAGCTCAATTCGGGGAGCTAGCTCAATTGATAAAGTGACTTCAAGTATAAGGACCTGAGTTTTATTTCCAGAATTGGCACTGGGGAGACGGAGACAGGGGCTCACTGGTTGGCCAGCCTGGCAAGACTGGGGACCTACAGGTGAAAGGGACAGACTCCACCTCAACAAAAAGGTGGAAAGCGACGAGGACGACATCTTTGCTCTCTGTGGCTCTGATAAGCACCGTGACCAAAGGTGATTTAGGGAGCAAAGGGTTTATTTCAGCTTTTAATTCCCAGTTCATGCTCCATTATCGAGGGAAGACAGGGCAGTGGCTCAAGCAGAAGCCACAGGATGCTGCTTATTTGCCCATTTTTGTAGTATTGTTATAGAATCTGAGCCCACAGCTGGGCGGTGGTAGTGGTGGTGCACGCCTTTATCCCTGCACTCGGGAGGCAGAGGCAGGCGGATCTTAGTGAGTTCAAGGTCTATAGAGCGAGTTCCAGGACAGCCAGGACTGTTTCAGAGAGAAAAATCCTGTGTCGAAATCACCCCCCCCCAGACTCCGAGCCCACCTGCCTAGGTGGAAATACACACAGTGGCCTGAACCCTCCCTCATCAATTAGCAATTAAGAAAACTCCCCCACTCACCAATCTGATCCAGTCAGTCCCCCAAATGAGACTCCTCAGATAATTTTGGGCTGTGTCAAGTTAACAGCAGAAGTGAACCGGAACACCCACTGTTGTTTTGCACCTACCATGTACACAAATACTTACACACATGTACACACACACCAAAAGAGAAAGGAAGAAAGGAGGAAGGGAGGGAGGGAGGGAGGAAGGAAGAAAATGAAGCCACTAGACAGAAACCTCTAATCCAGTGGAAGGAAGGGACAGGCTCCTGGCTGGTGTCTCCTGCAGCACTGAGTGGTGACCAGGCAGGATCTGCCTCTGGGTTCTGCCAAGCAGCCCTTTCTTTTTCTATAACAAACCCACTCAATTGCATCGGCTCTCCTGCCTGCCTCTTCTTTCCTTTTCCTTTCAGAACGCCTGAGCCGAGTTGCACAACTGCACACTTAACTGTATTGAGCATGACTGTTGGGCTGGGTTTCTATTTCTTCAGTCACTGTGTGGTCACATAACTATAAAAGACCAAGGGCAACTTTAAAATAACAAAACAACACAACACATCTCCCCCTTTTCTGAGACAGGGTTTCTCTGTGTAGCCCTGGCTGTCTACACTCACTCTGTAGACCGGGCTGGTCTCACACTCAGAGATCCACCTGCCTTGCCTCCTGAGTGCTGGGATTAAAGGCGTGCACCACCACTGCCTGGCTAACAACAACACTATACCATCTCACTAGCCCAAAATTTTAGTGAGAACTAGTCTCAAAGAGCAAACCAAACAAAACAAAACAACAACAACAACAAAAAAACCCCAAACAAACAACAATAACAAAAAAAACCTCACAAAACTTTGCTGGATCTCATTAGTAGCTTGTTAAGGTCATTTGTTCAACAATTACTTAGGATGCCCTGCTGTACTTAGCAGGGTAATTTCCAGGATTACATGATTACAACTTGCAATCCACTTAGAGAAGCAGTGATCTGTAAACGCCATGTCAGTCGCAGCAGCCAGCACCATCAGCAACCGGACCTCTGACTTCCCGGGAACGGCGGCTCAGTTGTATGTTGGTGGTAATTTCACACACACCCCACATCTGACATCGTAAGGACAATCATCCCTGCACACTAGGAGCATGGGGACAAGCGCCAGCCTGACTGATCCCACTTAGTTAAGTGTCAGACAGAACTGGTTCCCTCTCGCATTATTTTGCAATGTTCCTCAGCCCTCGCTCCACTTGCCCAGGTACCCAGCCCTTGAAGCTAGCTCAAAACTGCAAACACACGAAGGGCTGGGGATAGTGCAGTCTGTAATGACACCTGCTGGGGAGGCAGAGGCAGGAAGATCACAGGTTCAAGGCCTGATGGAGCTAGAGTGAAGTCAGTCTGGACCACCTAGTGAGAATTCTGTTTAAACTGAAAAATAAAAAGTGAGTTGGGCGGGGGCTGGGGTGGGGAGTGGGGGGTGTGGATGTAGCTCAGGGGTGGAGTGTTTACCCAGAACCCTCCAGGTGAAGCCTGTTAGGTGAGATTCTGTAGAAGAGCTTGGGCAATATCTTAAACTCCATAAAACAAAAATAAGAGAGAGAGATGCGAAAGAGGAGGGAACAGGAGTCGAGGGGAGGAAGGGAGGAGAAAGAAGTGAAAATAAGCTCAGAACCAGAAAAATTAAAAATATCTCCTTCCGGGGCTGGGCAGTGGTGGCTCATGCCTTTAATCCCCAGCACTCAAAAGATAGAAGCAGGTGGATTTATTTGAGTTTGAGGCTAGCCTGACCTACAAGAGCTAGTTCCAGGACAGCTAGGACTATTACACAGAGAAACCCTGTCTTGAAAAAACAAAAAAGAAAAGAAAAGAAAAAGAAAAAGAAAAAGAAAAAAAACCTCCTTCCAAGCACATGCTTTAAATCCTAGCACTCAGGAGGCAGAGGCAGGTGGATCTCTGAGTCTGAAGCCAACCTGGTCTACAGAGGGAGTTCTAGGACAGCCAGGGCTACACAGAGAAACCCTGTCTCAAAACAAATAAATCCAAAAACCCCACTTCCTTCCAAACTAAATTCCTAACTAAGAAATAGGGCCAGTGAAGATGGTTCAGTGGGCAAAGATGTGTGCTGCCAAGGCTGACAACTTGAGTCCGATTCCTGGAACCAACGTGGTGGAAAACACACACACACACACACACACACACACACACACACAGCTAAATTTTCAAAAACAAGGGAAAAACAACAGGCAACCAACAGGAGGTGAAGAAAAGGGGTTGTAACAGGACACTAACCACCAGGGTTGATGCAGCTGGCCTCGCTGGCTGGCTGGGATCCCTCCCTCCTTAGCCCCTCTACAAGCTTCCAGAAGCTACAGCCTCTGGTGAAGAGATGCCTGCCCCCAAGAGGAGGAATTTTTTAACTTTTATTGTTTTTATGTATATGTGTTTATTGTTTTATGTATGCTTATTCTTATGTGTGTGTTTATTATTATGTATGTTTATTGTTTTATGTGTTTGTCTTTAATGTATGTGTTGTCTTATGTTTATTGCTTTATGTGTTTATTGTTTTATGTATGTGTTTATTGTTTTATGTATATGTGTTTATTGTTTTATGTATGTGTGTTTTGTCTTCACATATGTCTTTGCACCCCAAGCATGAGCATGAAGCACCCTCAGAAGAGGGTGTCAGATCCCCTAAAACTGGAGTTACAGATTGTAATGTGGGTGCTGGGGATCAAACCTGTGTTCTCTAGAGCTTAACCACTGAGCCATCTCTCTAGCTCAGCAGGAAATTTTTTTCCAAAGGTACTCAAGTGGCTGTTGTTTCTTGGGGTCCATCTGTAGCAGGCTATATGGTCCTCAGGCTTTGCAGCCAACAAACACGGGCAGGAGAGATGGTCGATCGGGTAAAGGCGGCACCCTTGAAAACCTGATGACTCACGGTTGATCCTTAGCCCCCACATGTGCCATGGCTCCTATCTGCAATCCTAGCACCTCTACAGCACATGGCACGTAGGACTCTCACTTGGAAGCTCGTGGAACGGCTAGCCTGTAGGCCACTGAGGGGCAGACACAATAAAAATCTTGTCTCAACAAGGGAGAAGGGAACTGATTCCCTCAAACTAAGGCAGCAGCTACTAAAGGCAGAGATGGGACATAAACCCCTCACAACACAGAGGGCAGACAACAGAAGGCCAGACGAGGGAAGACAGTCAACCCTGCCCTTCACCTCCAAACACCGCAGAAAAAGCCGGCAGGTTCTTTTCGCTGGGCCGTTTATGATCCCTTTTTAATATTTACATTTACTATAACTCTGTGGGTTAGACCAATCCCACAGCAGTCCCTGCGGTCCGTGTGATCTCCGTTGGTTGGCAGGACACAGCTTCGCTGGGTGAATGGACGGCTCTTCTCTCTACCCTTTGAGGATGAGCTGGGGGAAGGATTGGGGGAGCACTTCCTCTCCTGATGCAGGTTTACACGGTCCACTTCAAACACCTGCAGAGAGAGAAAAGAAGCCCGTTGGAGGCGGAGAGAGGTACTGGATGCTGTGTGGAATGAGCCTATAGGCATGGTTAGACTCAGGCTCACCTGGTCTCCTGGTGGGTGCCCAGGCAGCGCACTGTGCAGTACCGGGCACCACAGCTTACACAGGTATACGGGGATGGGAAGCCACATACAGCACAGAAAGGGCGCTGGGGTCGGGATGGGGGACCGGCACAGGCTGTCAAGTAGTTGGGACCCTCAGATGCACTCAGGTTCTGCAGAGACATGAAGGGACAGGCATCTTGAGTTCTCCAATCTGCCATGCAGCTGGTGTCCACCAGGAATCCTGAAGAGCATGGGCTCCCTCTTTGCTTTCTAGGGAACGCCCCCTCACCAGGCCAAGAACTCTCACCTGCTCCTCCAGCAAAGCCTGGAAGTTTTTCCGGAAGCGAAGCTTGAAATGGTCACCTCGAGTTTTCTTCTTTTTCTTTCCTGAGGGAACCAAAGACAGGGAGCTGCTGCACAGCTGCCATGACACTTGGGGTCGGTCCCCCCCTGCCTGCATCTGCCTGTACCCTGACATCTCCAATCCGGGCTGACCGTCAGCTCCTTAAGATTCAGTCTACCCCATCTTTTTATTTTGGGGACAGGAGCTCAGGTAGCCCAGGCTGGCCATGAACTCACTATGTAGACAAGGATGACCCTGGACTGGTCCTCCTGCTTCCACTTTTCACGTGCTGAAACCACAGGCCTTTCATTTTCACTATTTTGACACAAGCTCTCATTACATACCCCAAGCTGATGTCAAACTCACGACACAGACCAGGTTAACCTTAGACTCCTGGCAATTCCCCTGCCTCAGTTTTCTGTGTTGGTGTACACACCATCATACCTGGTGCTCCATCTTTTTTATTCCACATGAAGAAACCCAGGCGCAGAGAGGGGAAGACAGTTGCTCCCAGCACAGGAACTAGTCATTGGCAAAGACAGCAGTGGTTCCAAGCCACCTCTCTGCTGGACCCGTCCCACATGGTCTGCCACAGCCTTGATTCCTTTTCTTTCCCAAAGACAGGGATAGCTTGCTCTTTGTTTGTTTTTGAGACAGGATTTCTCCATGTAGCCCTGGCTGTCCTGGAACTAGTTCTGTAGACCAGGGTGGCTTTGAACTCATAAGAGTTCCGCCTGCTTTTGCCCCCCCAGTGTTGGGATTTAAGGTGTGCACCACCACCACCCGGCCAACAGGAATACATTTATTTATTTATTTATTTATTTATTTATTTCGAGGCAGGGTTTCTCTGTAGCTTTGGAGCCTGCCCTGGAATTCGCTTTTGTAGACCAAGATGGCCTTGAACTCAGAGATCTGCTGGGATTAAGGAGGAAGGAAGCCGGGTGGTGGTGGTGGTGGAGGCGCGTGCCTTTAATCCCAGCATCTATGAGTTCAAGGCCTGTCTGGTCTACATAGAGAGACCCTTTCTCAAAAAATAGACTGTAGTTGATTGGTTTACTCTTTTGCTCTTCTGGTGGGCTCACCACACAACTCCCAAATAAATCATACACCGGAGGCTTATTCTTACTTATAAATACCAAGACTTAGCTTGGCTTGTTTCTAGCCAGTTTTCTTAAATTGTCCTGTCTACCTTTTGCCTCTGGGCTTTTATCTTTCTCTATTTCTATACACCTCTCTTACTTCTTACTTTGTTGCTTGCTGTGTAGCTGGGTGGCCGGCCCCTGGAGTCTTCCTCTCCTCCTTCCGCACTCCTTAACCTCTCATTTCCTCATTCCTCTTTTTACCCTTCTGTTTATTCCCTCTGCCTGCCAGCCCCATCTATCCTTTCTCCTGCCTTGCTATTGGCCGTTCATCTCTTTATTAGACCAATCAGGTGGTTTAGACAGGCAAAGTAATACAGCTTCACAGAGTAAAACAAATGCATCATAAAAGAATGCAACACATCTTTGCATCATTAAACATATATTCCACAGCATAAATGAATGTAGCACATCTTAGAATAATAGTCTACAACAGACAGACAAAATCCTCCCTATAATAGGAAGAACAGAGAAAGAACAGGCATGTACATTTATTACTAGTTTAGCGCACACAGCTGCTGATGGTTGTTTTTTTGAGTTAATCCCTCCCTCCCAGTCCAGGCATCCTTGGAGGACAAAGGTAACGCCAGCAGACACTAAGTTACTCAGTGGTTCAAAGTGCCTCAGTCCACCAGCTCAGACATCCACAGAATGAGAGACAAGTACAAGGGATGATAACGAGAGACACAGTCACCACAAGTCTCGGAAACATCACAGAGGGGAAAGACTGGAAGTCAATCAAGCCAGATGACCGACAGCCTTTTGTCTGTGTATAACCTGACTGAAGATGGTTCTTTAGAAGAGTAATACATTGTCTTCTCAGATTGTTGACTCTCTGAATAAATTGAAATTTTGAAGAACCAGGGGCTGGCAAGATTGCTCAGCAGGTAGGGGCACCTGCAGCCAAACCCAGCAATCTGAGTGACATAGTTCAAACACTGCCACAGGGTAGAAGGCGAGAACCAGTAAGTTTCCGTCTGACCTCTACATGCAAGCAGGTGCAAAAATGCACAGACACACATGCATAAATACACACACACTAAAGAAATGAAAAAATACAATAAAGATTCAATTCCCATCTCTGCTCCATGGCATCAGTGGTAACAGGCTGCCAGGGACTTCGCGACACCATCTCATCCTCTCTCCCACAACCCCCACCACACCTGTGTCTGCATCGTCATCAAACTGAGGTAGCCTCTTGCCCAGCTGGGGGAGGCCTGCGTGGGGGTCGTCCTGGAAATTGTCGTTCTCTAAAGCCTCGAGCTGTCGATTGATCCGTCGCTGCCGGGCGGCCCGGTCCAGCACCCGCCGCTGTCCAGGGTCCTGGGAGCGAACTAGATGGGACAAAGGAGAGTTATGGAAGTCAAGAAAGAAGGGCAGCTGGGCTGGCAGGGCAGAGAGCCACAGTCTCCTGGCCTCGCCCCATCACTATGCCGCGGGAAGTTCCCAGTTCTTGACCCTGTTTCCTTTCAGTTTGGGGAGCCGACTTCAGCCTTTCATGCTCTTCATCCCCAGTAACAGCAGTAACTAGAGACACAATAAATTGCAGCGAGAGAGATGGCGCAGGGGTTAAGAGCACTTTCTGCTCTTGCAGAGTTCAGCTTCCAGCACACAGGACCATCAACCACCAGGGTGGTTCACAACCACCTGTAACTCCAGCTCCAGGTCCTCCGTGGGCACAAATCCCTGACCTTTTTCTAGCATTCCATTCGCACATAGCAACACACACACACACACACACACACACACACAAATCTAAAAAAATAAGGGAGTGTATTTAGAGTATTGGCACTATGTTGACCTCTGGCTTCCCTATTCAACACACCTGTGTCTTTGCAGAGCCAAATCCGGTGTATGTTTCTAGAAAGTTCCTTCAGCCTGAGCTGCATTTCTATGCCGCGTGACTGCACTGAATACCTTCCTTGAACTAAGAGTCTCTGTTCCTTGGCGTGACTTCCAACTGTCCTCCTCTCGTGGTTGGTATGCTTCCCAGTCCCATATCTTGGCCCCCCTCTTGCTCTTCAGGCCACCTCTGCTTGTCCTTCTTCTATTAATAACCCCGCCCCACCCTCCCCAACCTTCAGTAGGGTCTCAGGAAGCCCAGACTGGCCTGGAACTTACTACGTAGCTGGGCACGACTCTGAATGACCTCTTGTGCACCACCACGCCTGTGGTTTATGTGGTGCTGGGGAATGAAACAGAGCTTTGTGCATGCCAGACAAGCCCTCTACCAGCCGAGCCAAATCCCTAGCCTCTTTTTCTAGCATTTCATACTTTAAAAAGTTCATTTATTTTATGTGTTTCTGTGCGCATGTGGGTACCGCAGTACATGGGTGGAGATCAGAGAACAATTTGTTATTTTTTTTTTCTCCCATCATGTGGGTCCTCGGGTGGGGTCAGGCTTGGCAGCAAACACCTTTACCTACTGGGTCATCTTGGCAGCCCATTCCTGGTACTTCTAACGCAAAGAAAGAGCTGTGTTCCACATAACATGCCAGTCTCAAGCCAGAACCCTCTCAAACCACAGACCTGGTTACGAGACATCGAGAGGCTGAGGCAGGACCAGCCTAGCTACATAGGCAGTCTAGGGTACAAAATGAAACTTGTCTCGATAAATAAAAAAGAACTCGGAGAGTGGCGTGCGTGGTGGTGGGGAACCTAAAGCCAAGGCCTTTGATTTCCTAAGCGTCTCCGTCCCCTCCATCCAGAAGCTGAGGTGGGTACAAATGCTCATTGCACCCAGGCTTTGGAATGTCAAGGCTCTCCTCTCCGTCCCCGGCGTCTAGCTTACGGCAAACATTCACTAAACACGAATGAATGGTTGCGGGGCTGCCCAACGCCAGGCGAGAGGGCCTGCAAAAGGATTTGACAGGAATAACCGGGCGGGGTAATGTAACGATGGATTCGAACTTGGGATGAAGGGCGAACCTCTAAAGGTTCACGTACCCGAGGGTTTCTTCTCCACCATTTGCGCAACTGTTGTCGGAAGAGCCTACTGCGCACGCGTATTAACCACCCACTCTCGACTCAAACGCATCCCTTCCGGTGGCGTGCACTCGAGCGCGTGCGCAGTCAAGCCCCTCCTACTTGAAGTCAAGCCGTGATGTTCCCCTGGAGACCAGAAAGCTTTCCCGCCATCTTTGATAGGGGCAAACCTACTTCCGGTCGCGGTGTGGTCGTTTAAGAAAAAAATAAATCTAAGCGCCCCTGACCCCCCGCCAAGGGTCACTTTTAAAACAGGGTGCAGGTGGTCTGCGGGGTCCCGGGGCGTGTCCTCGGGCAGCGGGGAGGCGTGATGGGCAGGTTCGGGGCTTTGTGGAACCCCCGCCCGCAGCGATGTCCGCGCGATCCCGCCTCTCCGGGCCCGTCGTCCCCGCCGCGCGCTGTCGCAGGCCTTGTAGTCCAGTCCTCCTCCGGGTCCGGACTGCGGCCAAGACCCGCCCCCGCGTCCCCTGGACCCTCCCCGGGGGGCTCGGTTCCCCTGCTCCACCCACCCCCAGCCCGCGCCCACGGGACAAGCCTTGCCTTGTCTCGCCGTCTGCATCTCGGGTTTTCGGTGGCCTCGGGTTACGCCTTTTTTCCAGGGCGGAGTCCCAAGCCCAGCTCCTCCTCACAACGAGCTCGGCTTCCCTTTTCCCAGAACCTTCTCCCAGCGTCGGAATCCAGGCGCTGAGCTCAGTCCCGTGGCGGGCCCGGGTGTCGCCTGAGGGTGCTGCTGACCATGGCTGCTTCGGGCCCGGAACCCCGACTTTTGATCCTGCTGCTGCTGCTGCTGCCGCCGCTGCCCCCTGTAACTTCTGCCTCCGATCGACCCCGGGGCTCGAACCCTGTCAACCCAGGTGAGAACCCGGGAGGCAAGGGTGGGCACAGTCGACACGTCTGCCAGCCTGGAAGGAAGTGTCCATTCTTCCCGGGGACCCAGCGCATCACCCTCTCCCCACGCTGAACTAGGGGCTTCCAGTTTCCCCAGACAGACAGGAACACCCCAGCCCCCATTCCTGTTACTCAACTCTTCTGGAGACCAAATGTCCCTGAGCAGGAATTAAGGAGGGAATGGGAGAGAACTTCAATGAAATAGCAGGGAGGTGGAGGGGATACACAGGGATAAACACGTGGGTCCTAAGTGCTAATTCCGTGGCTGTGTCAGACAAATTGCTGGTGATCACTGTGGCTACGGCAGAGACAGAGGGATACCGGCGTTTTCTGCAGTCTGCCGACTTCTTTAACTACACCGTTCGGGTGAGTGGGGGACTCCTGGGAGAAGTTCCATCAGGAGTGGGCTGGGAGCTGGACCTGTTGCCTCACCTTGGCCAGCTGATCCACCTCCATGGCATGGGGGTGGTTTCTTTCCTGCAGACCTTGGGCCTGGGACACGAGTGGCGAGGGGGTGATGTCGCTCGAACAGTTGGTGGAGGCCAGAAGGTCAGGTGGCTAAAGAAGGAAATGGAGAAGTATGCGGATCGGGAAGACATGATCATCATGTTTGTAGACAGGTAAAGAGGGTCTGTCTGGGTGGAGAGAGAGGGGACACGGAGGAGCAGAGAGAAAAAGAGACCCTTTTCCTCTTCCAGCTACGATGTGATTCTGGCCAGCAGCCCGACAGAGCTGCTGAAGAAGTTTGTCCAGAGTGGCAGTCATTTGCTGTTCTCTGCCGAGAGCTTCTGCTGGCCCGAGTGGGGCCTGGCTGAGCAGTACCCTGAGGTGGGCACGGGGAAGCGCTTCCTCAACTCTGGTGGTGAGTGCCAAAGTACCTGAGACAGAACCCCCCAAGATCTCAGCGGTGAGGCATCGCATGCTTCTAGTTCTTGAGGGTTAGAGAGAGAGTGGGATCCTGGGATCCTTGGGGATCTACTTCTCTCTTGTCTCCCAGGATTCATTGGCTTCGCCCCGACCATCCATCACATTGTCCGTCAGTGGAAATACAAAGATGACGATGATGATCAGTTGTTCTACACGCGCCTGTACCTGGACCCAGGGCTGCGGGTATGGAGAATCGGGCCAGGGGTGTCCCCTGACTTAATGGGAGGGAAGACATGAGGGGAGCTGGAGAAAGATACGGTGTCACCTGTTCCCTCTCTGTTCACTGCTCCGTCTCGTGCCATCTAGGAGAAGCTCAAACTTAATCTGGACCATAAGTCCCGGATCTTCCAGAACCTCAATGGAGCCTTAGGTGAGCAAGAAGATGGTTCGAAGTGGGTGATGAGGGATGGGTTCCTGCCAGAACTGGGCTGGTCAACGGATGACCAATGTGCTAACCTATTCAACACCTAAGCTTATTATATTGTGTTAGCAATAGTGAGACTATGAGTGTGCCTCAGCAGCAGAATGCTGAAAGTTTGCCAGTGAGGGGCTGGGGGTGGCTCAGTGGTAGAGCACCTGCCTAGAATCCCCAGTGAGGGGCTGGGGAGCAAGGAACTCAAGGATAGAAGGTGTGCCTAGCATACAGAAACCCTAGGTTCAGTCCCCAGCACCATCCACATATCTATCTAGCAGACACATGCTAAGGTCCCCAGTCAGGGACTCTACTACCGCTGTGATTTCATTAACACAGAGCTTCTGCAAAGGGAGTGTTCCCTGACTTCCCACCTTGGAAGACCCTTTGGCAGGTGAGAAAACTGACTCCCTTAGGGACTAGTGAGTCACTCCAAGTCAGGTAAAGTGAACTCTCTAAGGCGGCAGCAGCCTGGACAGACTGGCAAGGCAAGGGTGGTGTGAATTCCCTGATCTCAGAGGCAGGAGGACCTTGAGTGGCAGTCCATCCTGGGCCACATAGTGAGACGTGAGCAAAGGAAAGAAAGGACTCACAGAAAAACTCCAAAAAATATTGGTTTTCTCATGTGTTTGTTTTGGAGTGGAGCACTCGTGCCCCAGTGCGGAGTCAGAGGAGAGCTCTGGAGACTGCTCTTTACTTCTGTGTGGTTTCCGGGTGTCAGGCTTGGTGCCTTCATCCATTGAGCCACCTCACCAGTCCCAGTCGGACACACTATATGATGATTTAAAAAGATAAAATAAGCCGGGCGGTGGTGGTGCACACCCTTAATCCCAGCACTCGGGAGGCAGAGGCAGGTGGATCTCTGTGAGTTTGAGGCCAGCCTGGTCTACAAGAGCTAGTTCCAGGACAGGCTCCAAAGCTACAGAGAAACCCTCTCTCGAAAAACCAAAGTAAATAAATATAATAATAATGCTTTTATAAGGAAATTCCAGCCCAACAACAGCAACAAAAGAAAGAGCTGTGCCCTGACTGAGCTGTAGTCCAGACCTTTGGGCCTCCACACTCCTCTGTCCGCTAGAGGAGATGGGACCCCCACTGCACACGTAAAAGGCCTGTTGCTCTGTGGTTCCCAGATAAAGGAACTCCTGAAAACCTCCTTTCCTTCCCCAGATGAAGTGGTCTTAAAGTTCGACCAGAATCGTGTGCGCATCCGAAATGTGGCGTACGATACTCTCCCTGTTGTGGTCCATGGAAACGGTCCCACCAAGGTGCCTATGGTGTCCTCAGCCCTTGCTTATCTCGAGCCCTGGGTACCCCATCCCTCCTGGACCATTTGGTCCTCCCCAGTCCCAGAAGAAGAGGTGCTGGGACAGCTGCCTCTCTTCACCCTGTGCTGAGCCAGCTTGCCTTTCAAGTCCTCAGACACCTCCACTTTAGCTACCCACCCTCTGTCCCGACAGCTCCAGCTCAACTACCTGGGGAACTATGTCCCCAATGGCTGGACTCCTCAGGGAGGCTGTGGATTCTGCAACCAGAACCAGAGGACACTCCCGGGGGGGCAGGTGAGGAGAGAGTTGTGATGTAGGGGGAGGGCAAGCTGGGCAGCCCCAGTTGCCGAGCTCCTGGGCATCCTGATCTGGCAGAGTGGTCAGTGGCCGGGAGGGCTGTGGGGCAGAGAGAGGCCCGGGCTTCTGTGAGCCTTGTTCTGTGGTGTCCTCAGCCTCCCCCCCGGGTGCTTCTGGCCGTGTTTGTGGAGCAGCCTACCCCCTTCCTGCCTCGATTCCTGCAGCGCCTACTGCTCCTGGATTACCCCCCAGACAGGATCTCTCTCTTCCTTCATAACAACGTGAGCTATGGGGCCCCCAACCCCCCCCCTCCCATCCCCTGCATCCTACACCTTTTCCCATCTGTCCTGCCCTGGGTACCACCTCTGCCCAAGCTGTCAGTCCATCCTTCTCCCTGTCCCATCTTTAGGAGGTGTACCATGAGCCTCACATTGCAGACATCTGGCCACAGCTCCAGGACCACTTCTCAGCTACAAAGCTAGTAGGGCCAGAGGAAGCCCTGAGTCCCGGCGAGGCCAGGGACATGGCCATGTGAGTGAATCTCCCTCATCTGCCATAGACAGTGGAGCTCCTGGGGACGGAGACACGCACTGACTCTTGTCCCCTTCTCAGAGCTGGGAGAGCCCCACTCGTCCCACTGTTCCTGTTGCCCTGCCCGCACACCCCATTTGAACTCCTCTCTCCATTTGTGGGTCATCCTCTCCAGGGATAACTGTCGGCAGGACCCTGAGTGTGAGTTCTACTTCAGCCTGGATGCTGATGCTGTCCTTACCAACCCAGAGACCCTGCGCATCTTGATTGAACAAAACAGGTGACCAACCAATCCCACACATCCATGAAGCCCCAGGAGGGCCTAGGAGCTCCATCCCTTCCCTGGGTGGGACATAGTTCACTTCCCTCTGCCCAGCCTTCACTTCTGTTTTATCTAGGAAGGTAATCGCCCCCATGCTTTCCCGCCATGGCAAGCTCTGGTCCAACTTCTGGGGTGCCCTGAGCCCTGATGAGTACTATGCCCGCTCTGAAGACTATGTGGAATTGGTGCAGCGGAAGCGAGTGTGAGTCCTACCCACGTGTACCATGCAGAGACCAGAGCCTTCCCTGGATCCCCACTTTGTAGCATTCTGTGTGGTCATTAGACAGGCCACAGCTGTGGGTAGGGACCAGTAACAGATTGGGTGGTGACCTCCCATCAGTGATGTGATGGTCACAGGCTCAGGGTTCTGGGGTACCCTGAGGAAAGGAGTTTTTACAGTGAATAAAGCATAATCTGGGGGGGTTG